TCGAGGTCGTATCTCTGTGAGAGGCGGGCTGTGGAGCGTGCTGTATGAGCTGCCAAGTAGCTTGTGTGATCTAGGGGTGTTTGGGAAATGAGGTAGTGGTGAGGATGTGCTGTTTGATGGCCTCTGTGGCCGCTTCCTCGAGGTTCTGCCATTGCTCGTGTGGCTGCGGCTGCAAAGGAAGTCGAGGAGACTGTGAGTAGTCTGTGGTGTGTGTGGTGTTGTCCATGTGTTGCTTGATATGCTTGTTGTATTCTTGCTTTTGTGTCTCCGCGGGTGTTCTAATGTGTCTTTGTTTGGATGGTGCTTGTTTGGTCTCCTTGGTTCTGAGCTGTAGCTCAACCTTGACCATGTAGTGGTTGCTGTTGAGAGCTGCTCCAATGCTGGTGTGGATGTTGTGGGTGACGTTTCGCCAATCTTTGTGAATGATGATGTGGTAGAGCTGCACCAAGTCCCCGTTGGGTCTTTTGTGGGTATATCTGTTCTGTGGTGTTTTTTCCATCCAGCTCTCTGGAAGACAGTAGTCCTGTGAGGCAAGAAGGTCGTGAAATTGGCGTTGGTCGGCTCGTCATCCTCAGCGGTTTTGCCGGTTATACAGTGTGGTCCTGCGGCGTATGATATGGCTGCTATCTCGTCGAGTGCCAGCGCGTTGAAGTCGCCGACCACCAGTAGGTCTGTGATGGTCGGTGTGAGGTGTGGTGCTGTGATGGGGCAAACGCCGGTGAAGGTCTGCGTGGGTTTGCCTTTGCTGTCGTACTCTTCGGTGGCGCTGTGGGTGATGGTGTAGCCGTCGATCATAAATTGATCTGACTATTTCATGTGGGTCTCTGTGAGCGCCAACCAGCTAAGGCGGTGTTGGCGCATGAGGCGGATGAGAGTGTGCAGTTTGGCTGCCAAACCCTAAACCCAAAATAAAATTGTTCATGGTTGCCAAACCTGAAACCCCAAAAGGAGATGTCGATTGTCAAACCCGAAACGCAGATGTTGCCGAACCCTGAAACCTAAATGGAGATACTGGTTGCCAGCCAAACCAACCCGAACAAATCCAAAGAGTTACCAAACCCTAAACCATACAAGCACATGTTGGCTTTTCCAAACCACTTCCAAACCCTAAACCCGAAAGGAAATGTTGGCTGCCCTTGCCTTCTTGGAGCTGTTGGACATGTTGGCTTCCAAATTTGCCAAACCCTTTTCGCTGCGCCAAAACCAAAACCCTCAAAAAAGCTATTGGTTGCAAATCTTAACACTTAAGGGAGATGTATGTTGGCGGCCACCCTCACCTCTAAACGGTATGTTACGGTATGTTTGTAATGCCCGTTCTAAGCAAAAGCGAGCCGAGCACGTTTCCGTTGCTTACGCTTTCGTTTGGGGTTGCCGTTCCGCAACCAACATCCCCTTTCAGGGTTCAAGGTTTGGCAACCGCAAGTACCGGTTGTCCGCTTCCGTGTCGGATTCTGGGGCTGCCGGTTCTCTGCTCCCGGTCCGCTTTTGGAAAGCTGAACAGAAGCGAGATCGACAACAGAACCCCGAACGGAAGCCCGAATGGAACCGAACAAACAAACGGACAAGGGAACGGCAGAGATTAAAAAAAGGAAACGTGCCTTGTTGCCCAGGCAACATTACGAGGATATGCTGGTTGCCACCACATTTTTTTGCCGTTTCCAGCGCAGTCGCTTTGATTTAAGGTGAGCTTGGGGTTCCAACATGCAACATTGAAAAACACACACAGTGTTGTCATTGTTTTCTGCTTTGGGTGGGTACAAGGTTTTCGGTTTGCGGTTCAGTTCCTGCTTTTTGTCCCTTCCTGAATTTTTGGGTGCCAGGCTTTCCGTTGGGGGTTCAGTTTCCGAACGGAAGCCCAAACAGAAGTGCAAACGGAAAGGAAATCCCAAACGGGATTTCCAAAAGGCTACTCTAATTGGAGATGTCGGCTGCCAGACTCCTAAACCCCAAAATACATGTAAAAGTTTGCAAACCCTAAACCCTAAAAAATTGCTTGCCAAACCCTATGCCAAAAAACGTTTTGGTTGCCAGGATCTATGGTTGTCAAACGCTGACCCCTAAACGGACATGTTGGTTGCCGAACCCTCTACCCTGAATGGAGATGTTGGTTGCCAAACAAAAACCCACAAAAGGACCTTTGAACCCAGGCTCTATGCCATCATCAGCTGTGCCGATTATGTATGTTGATTGCTAAGCCCCACACCTTCAATGAAGATGTTAGTTGCTGAACCTTTTTAAAGCACAGATTGGCTGCAAGAAGCTGAAGCCAATTTTGGTAGCCAACCCCAGCCCTAAGAGGAGATGTTGTTGCAAACCCGAACCCAGCCGAAACCCTGTCGAAATCGTGGAGGGCTGTTGAAACAAGGACAAGGTGCTCGTCGGCAACATTCATGCCTCATTACCACCCCCCGGCCTCTGGTCCAGACGAGCTCCCACTTCCAAGAAAAAGAAATCAACAAAGAGGAGGAGAAGGAGAATGAGAGAGAGAGAGAGGGGAAGTGCGAGAGTACGCCGATGTGCGATGTGTCAAACATTGGCAACGCAAAAAATCCTGCAGGTGCCCTTCCAGGGTGGCATGGACCTGCTACATACAGCTACACAATTTGCGCAGGCCCTGCTTTCACAGGGTTGTGCCCATAGTTTGGCTTTTGCTTTGCTGTTTGTGAGATAACACAATCGTAGCTGTTGGACGCTGTTGGTATCCGTTGCTGCGCCTGCCCAAATAAAAGTTCCACATCCCAGGGGTGACCACTGCTTAAGTTTGATCAGAAAACTCATGACTCATGAGCCAACCAACACCCAGAATTCCAGCGTTTCTGCATGAAGTCAGAAAGTCAGCTCAGATCCGCACAGGAAGCCGCAGGCGCAGAGGTGGCCTATTTACACGACCCCTGAATGCTGACTGAATCGTACTGCAGGGACACTCTCGCTCCAAGGCCTCATCAGGTCCGCCAGATGGCTTCCCCCATTTCCGTTGGCCCAGTGCTGGAGGTGCAGCAAATCTTGCATTATCACCTAAGCCGCGGCACCATCAGGAAAGTACTTTGGGTGTCGGGTCATACCCACATTCCACCGCAAGACGCTAAGCTGGCAACTCTCGCTTGCACGCTTGAGTGCTACAAGAAATTCTGGGTCGTCGAATGCAGTTGCCTCGGCATAGCTTGAGACCACTGTATCCTTACGACAGCTCGACCAAGCACAAGAAGAAACTGTGAAACGGTACATAGACAAATAAAGGCACGCTCTGCCCACTGAGGGTTCTATGGTCGGTCTTCGGTGGCGGCGGCGGTTGATGTCTCATCTCAGAGCTTGTCGTACTTGAGACCTGCATGGCCAGCGAACCCAGGTATACAGCACGAACCATTGAAGCCTTTCGACACAAATCGACATGCCATCAAGAAGCGACGTCTCCAGTCTCTGCCTCACAGACGGGATTGCAAAGCCCAAGGCCCCCAAGACTTACAAGCTGTCGTTCCTGCCCAGGAGTCCATTGCGAACGCCAGGATGATTTCCCTGATATGCGGGAACCCTGTGTAGCAGCTGACCTGGTAGCATGGGTCTCGAGAACTTCTACCTGCTGAAGTGATCGCTGAGTGTCCTGCTCTTCACCTGCCGTCGTCGGCCTGCCGAAACGAGGCGTCGCATAACATCCCAGCGGCGTCACATAAGCATCCGAAAACAGAACGAGGCCTCGAGGAAGAAGTAGATGTCAAGGCACGCCGGAAGGATGCAGGCCTCTCGCGGAGCACGAGGTTCTCCTGCACGAGTTCATGAGGTCCGACCGAACACTCTTTTGGCCAATGGCCAAGGACCTAAGCACGACCGACGCCTCCAGTCGTTTTCCTTGCGGCGTCTCATCTTCTACAACTTCCTCCAGCGTCTGCCGTTCATGTCCGTGAGCAGGCAGAGGAGGGAGCAGCTCATCCACGTTTGAAGTGGGCACAAGCTCGTCCAGCAATTCTGCAGGCAGCTTCTGGGGTTGCAAGCCCTGCTCTGCGAGAGCTTGATCCACTGTCTGCCTGCGTCTGCTGGCGTCCTTAGAGAAAGCCATGTCTATTTTTCTAGCAGAACATTACTTCGGGTGAGCCGCTGCTGAGCCGGGCTAAACTACTGTCCAGGAGCAGCATCCGCAGGTTGAGCTGATGAAGGAGAACAAATCCTCGGCCCAATGATGCAAATTCATGAGTCATGGCACCCTCGTCATGGTCGCGGGCAGTGCTGCACGATTGAATGAACACTTGCAGCCCTCGGCTACTCAGACTCGTAATCATGGCCAATGGCAAAAAGGAAAGATGCTGCTTGGTGACGCAGGCTTCTCTGCTCTCGTGGGTTGTGACGCGGTTTCGTGAACTTGCTGCGTGGCTGTTCCACCCGCTGGCTGTAGATCCCAAGCCTGCAGCATTCGAAGCGTGCAAATTTCAGCGAAGCAACACGAAGAGCGTGCGAAGCGCAACATGCGACGAGCATTTACATAGCATCTCTGCTAGCAGTTGCATAGGAATACCGAGCAAAATTCTATGCATTTTGATGTCACCCGGAAATTTAAATGGAGATTGCAGAATTGAAGGACATAGCGACTCGCAAAACTGCAAAACCCATGAAAACACACAGGGCCAGGCCTCCATGGAGTTTGCTGCCGAATCAACGTTGACACGGGTTTGGTAATTAGATTTGCCTCGGGCTTGTGGAAACAAACATCGAGCCAGCCATTTCAAGCCGTCAGAGCGTTCTCTGGAAACCGATGGCTGGAAAAGGCTTCCGTCGTCAGCCTGGCATAGTTTGCCAAAACATCAAGATGTGCCTGCGCCTGTGCTGTCCTATCCGATTAGCCCACCATGTCACGGTGCACCCTGATGCGGGCGGCCTGTTGGACGCGGTCCACTCCCATCCCGTTTGGGCGGAGACGCCCGCCGGCTGCACGAGCCAAACAGCAACGGCCACGACATGCAGACAGCAGCACGTTCACTGCATACGTTCTGACTACAATACGCAGGCTGCACCCTGCGCTTCGGATGGCGCGTCGCACTGCATCTTTGGTGCATTGGGTGTTGTACAACGTGAGGACCTTGTCAACACTTAACATATGCTCCATGAAACACAGAAATGACACGCTTCGTCTTAATCTCCGGGGGTTTTCAGCTGAGCCTCAGACTTCATGTACTCCGCATTGCTTCGCCTGGTTGTGTATGCACCGTGGCTCAAGGCCAACTTTCCAATCAGTGTGCATCCAGCGCTTGCACCCCCAACTCAGCCCGGCACCAGTTCCTCCATGTGCTTGGCATCATTTACACTTGGAAGGCGTTGCTTGCTGTTGGCATAATCCAGTGCCTCAGGTAACAGGCAGTCAAAGCTAATCACTCGTGTAACATGAAGTCAGTGCCAGGCCAGTATCAACATGTAAATTCGGTGGTCCTGTGCTGGACAGCTACGGCTTAGGCCATGGAGAATGAAAAACATCAGAAGGCCTCCCTGTGGAATATAGGAGCCTGAGGAAGGAAGCAAGACAAGCCACAAAAGCAGTTCCATGGCTATTCAAGGAGTAGAACCTTGAAACATAGCTCCAACCTTACCAGCTGAGAAGCCGCCCGTTTGTAGTTTGATGCCCCGCTCACTTGTCGATTCCGTTCGCGCACGGCCTCGAATTCGCCAAACATTGCCAATTCGTAACTGAGCACAGCTATGAGATTGTAAGGTCGAGCAGAGCACGATCCAGAACACTTGCTTGACATGTAAGGCTGCATGATCAATCCAAACGCACGAACCGAGAGTTTGACTGCACTCATGGCGTCAAGGCAAGATGTCACAAAAAACTCAAGCTGTTGATGACTGGTGCATATTTCTCGCTCACGTTCGCTGGCTTAAAATGTCGTGGTGCTGCTTCTGGTTCGGGCGGGTCAAATACTGGACGCTGTCTTACCATAGTGCCTGCCATACCACAACACGCATCGGTACATGGCAAGACTGGCAACTGTGTACGCATATTTCTTGACTCGAAAACATGGCCACGCTGCAGAAGTACTGCACAAGCAAGTGGCAGAAAGTCATATTGGTCTTAATGGAAACTGTTGCTCCAGTCTGCAAAATCTTTGCATCGTTCGATCGAAAATTTTCAATTACTGGCTCTTGCCTCAGCCTCGGTTGTTCTTCGTTGCACATGAACGCCCGCCAACCAGGTCGCCGCATTGGGAAGGGGCTGCCATTGTCGCGGCGCTTCGTCGCAAACAACCTCCGCAACTTGACAGTTCGGGGGTGCGGTCCTTCCTTCGAACCGGCGACTGCGGGCATCTGCCTTCGTTGCCCTTGTTGTGTGGAGCAGCTGGCCAAATGGTTTAATTTTGATCACCGTGTGTTGTACCGAAACCACTCGGGAGTTTCAATCTAGTTCGGGGCATGCTGCTCTGCCAATATGTCGATGACACTAAACTATAGGCCCGGAGCCACAGCGAGCTGGAACCCTTGTGTATCAATCTTGTTCTGGGACCTTCTTACACCGTGACGCCGTCAGCGTTGACTAGTGCGCTGCACTAAAGCAATCAAGCCGCCATGCACAAAAGGGCGCTTTTCACGGGGTGGGCCTCAGCGTCATCTGCATCCGCCAGCAGGTCACCCAAAAGCGGCTCCGTGCCGTCACACTCGTCTGCTGCCGCCATACGGCAACTCAAAAAGCTAACGAACACGTGGTTGCATGTGCCTCGCCTTGAATCAACATGCTGCTAACGCGTCGTGCTGAAGTCGCGGCTGTGCCCTCGCTTCGTGAATGTCGTCCCCGGATTAAATTTTTGTTGACATGCTCATAGCTCGCGTGTGTCCCCTTCCATTATCGAACTATGCCGTAATTTGATGGACGTTCTGCCTCAGCCCAGCCATGTCTATGTGGCAGTGCTGTAAGGTGCATTGTTCACGCTCTGCGCTCCTGCCCCTGCTTTGTACCGTGGCGACGGATGCGCAAGCTCGACGGGTTCAATGCCGCACGGCGCATGACACGCCGAATGGCCATGACAAGCCAATGTTCAACTCCGAGGTAACGAAGCCTCGCGGGAAGTAATACCACTCAAGTGTACCAAAAACGTTTCGCTTTTGCTGGGCCGTTGAATGTTAAGGTATGTCAACCTAACAACGTTGCACTTTTGCAATTTGCCCGTTCGAGTCACGAAGACTACGGTCCTGCCAGGACAAAGGACAACTGTGGGGCGTCTTGCTAATCGTGTGAAGCCGTCGCGAATTGTACAAAATCATCTCGCATTGAGGGCCATATTGGAAAATGTGCTACATCAGACCATGAACTATGACCAGGTAAACGCGCCATTACAAATCTGTTCAATTCATCATCCCATCGCTTGGGAAGGCGACGCTTTGGCTCACTGTTGAAATTGTGCTGGGACGCGGGGCTCCAAGTTGCCACACGTAATGGCCAGGCATTCTTGCCGGTTAAGTTCATCACAGTTCATCACGAACCGGTGTTAGTTGGCATGATAAACACTGGACCAAGGAAGCACTGGATGTTGTTGAAGAGCAGACGATACCCGAGCGTTCATGCGTCGCATCGTCTCCTCCCAACTGTCGTCCCCGTCACGACGCCATCCAACAATGCACCGTAACATTTTCCGTTGACAAACATCAAGCTGTTCAAGCTGGCGTGACGTCAATAGCAAAGTAGAAAGCCCGAACAGTGCCGCAGGAGTTACCACGGCGTTGAAGAGCTTCAATCTGCCTTTGATTGACAAATGGTTGTTCACGAGTACACGTCTCAACCTAATGAATTTGCCCTACGCTGCACTGATGCGATGTGCCAATTCTGTTACAGACCGACGTTGAAGGTCGCGTACTTTCCGTTACAAATGTGCGTCGTTGTCACTTAAAACTGGGATCATGTCTCCGTCAACGTCGATGAAAGTGGCCTAAGGCGAAGTAACAATTGTGAAGATGCGAGTTTTTGTTGCATTCAACAACAAACCGACTAACGCCAACTCAACCTTCAATGACCCCAGCATGACAACAAGCTCCTGCCACGACTTGCTTTTAATCGTCAGCAAAGCGTATAGTGGTCAAATTGGTCAAAATTTTTGCCCAATTCAAAGAAGAGCCGCGTACTTTCGCGGCATGCACTCCTCTGCATGACGTGAATGTTGGTCACCCGCGGATCGAAGTCCAGCACAGTGCCCCGACGAATGCCCGCGGAGGTGCCTGTGACGAGGTTATCCAATACCTTCCACGTCGATATCAATTTACGGTTCCACGGGAAGCAACAGCCGTTTCAATAGGAATTTTGCGAAAACACCGCACCACCGGCTAATGGCTTCCCCTGAGCCGGATATGTTCAACGCGGCTTGACAGCAGTCCGGGACGATTGCCCAAGCTGAACAAGCTGCCAGAAAGCACAAACAATGCCGCAGGAAACACATCATCGTCAACACGGAAATGTTCAGATGAGCTCATCCGGGCCAGGTGCAATATTTCTTCCCACGCGCCTTTTCGATGTCAGCAAAACGGGAAATGCGGGTCCCCCTGCAACCTGCGCGCTACGAGCGCAAAAGGCTTGGGGTAGGAGGGACTGCGTCGTGCAGTACGTCCTCCAGCGGCGCGAGCTGGGTACCAGGCAGTGCGCCTGCGACGCAGGGTGCTCCGAGCGGCATGGCAGCAAGTGTGTAAGCCATGCTTAAGAAACCCCACCAACGGCGCAGCCAACCCTGCCTGGCTGCAGGGCGCAGAGCGGCAGGAGCACCTTGGGCACGGAGGCGCACGACTTGACTGACCAGGCGAAGCGGCTTGTCATTCCATCGCCCGCCAACTTCGCATGCAAACGCATGGTCGTTGGGGTCCGGCTTTCTTACCAGTACTACTCAGTCCCCCTGCGGTCCCGGCTTGCAAGCAGCTGGGCCCCTCGTCGGCGGCGAAGTCAAGGACACGGTCCAGGGCTGGGCCGTCGCTCGGCCCCGGCAGTGGAGCAGCAGGCCAGGCGCGGCCCAAGGCTGTGCCGGCGACGGCGCGCTGGACCGCGACGGAAACGGACCCCACCAACGTCTCGCAGCGCGTGAGCTCAGGGTAAGTTGCGCGCTTACGTCCTTCGGCAATGGCGGTGGCGGCGCCGTCGCGAGCCCGTTTTTCACGACAGTCTAAGGGGCGTCGATCGGCAAGTTCCACGTCGCGGACGGACATGCGCGCCAACCAGTGCTGCGGGACTACATGGCCCTCGGGTCCGACGCCCTCCCGTGCGATGCGCACCCAAGCATACTCAAGGGGTTTGGCTCGGCGGGCGAGCAGTCCGGTTCGAGGGCACGCGGCGTGCACGGTATGCGTGAACAGCGGCGCACCATACCCGTATGCACCCCGTCTGTATGGAGCGACCGGCAAGGGCATCCGCAGCCGCCGCCGCAAGGCTGTCAGCATGTGGTCAGGTGGCAGGCCGGAAATAGGCTCACTTAGGAGGGAATGGAGCCACGCGGCTGCGTGCGGCTGGCTAGAGTCGGCTAAAGGGTTGCAAGGTAAGCAGCGCCGCGGCTTTGCGGAAATGATCAAAGCAAGCGCGAGAACCGTGGTGCTGCCAGCTCTGGCGCCCTTCCCAGTAAGTTCAAACAAGTCGCTTCGTGCGAAGCACAAGCCATTGTGTAGGTAGGTGGTGCCAGGAAGCGGCCTTGCCATTCAACACCCTCGGGCGCGCATCCAGCAACTGCAGCGGCTCGCAGGCAGGCGGCATCAGGCGGCTCGCACGCAGGCGGCAGCAGCAGCAGCAGCTGGTCGCGCAGCGAGCTCGGCGAGACACCGCTCCGCGGCATCGGGGCGACGAGCTCGCAGACGGGCCAGGCATCGGCCCAGGCGGCCCAGTATGCTGCAGGGGTGGTGTGTTCAGCGCACTGCAACGCGTGCCGTTGCGACGTCAGCCTCGGCGTCTTCCTGTTCCCCTACGAGCGCAAGCAGGAATCGCCAGACTGCGTCGTCGTGATCTCGCGCAGAGCCAGCGGAAAGGTTGGGTGGGAGGATACGCAGCAATGGGTCGGCACGAGCGAGGCACACGTGGCCAGCAAAAACCATGCACACTGGCGGGCGGGCAGCATAGGAAGTTCATGCAGAAGCAGTGCCTCCTCAAGCAAGCGAGCATCCGTGTGAGCGGCGACGTACAGCAAATGCCCGATATAGGGGTGCCCAGTGCGACGAATCCACGTGTACACCGGGCACGCCTGCTCGTGTTTCGTTGGAATTGGACACGATGTCGAATGCCTCGCGCGCCCGTGGCGGGACTCCAGGGCGCAGCTGTGTGTCGGCAGCGACCAAGAGGTCGTGTTGGCCGCGGGCGTACAGCGCAGGAGCGAGATCCACCTGGTGCGTCGCTGGCCGGCGAAGTCCCTCCGAAAAGTGGACAGCTGCCTGTACCACATGCGCATCAAGGGTACGAGCGCGGG